GATGGCAGCGTAGTGGTATACAGTCGGGAGGGAGTTGCTCTGGGAGTCCTCAACATTGACGCCAGACCCCATGAAGTCTCATGGCTTCAGGTTAAACACGGGCAAGGTAACATCCTTCTGATTACCACATACCGTTCTCCCACAGCTGATGAATCAGTACCCCTCAATGTTAAGCAACACTTGGAGGAAGCACTGAGGATGGCAAGGGCACAAAATGTACTCTGGTTGGGGATTTCCATGTCCAACACCAACAGCAACTCGGCAGCAGTACTATTGATCAAGCTGATCGAGTCCTAAAGGACATAGCCGCTAGATTGGGTCTGCAGCAGCTGGTGAGGGAACCAACAGGAGGGAAAAAACACATGATCCCATTCTTACTAATCTGCCAGCTGCAGTTGCATCGCATCTGTCCTTGACAGTATCGGTAAGAATGACCATCGCACAGTCTTTGTGGAGATGAAGTCTCCCCTTCATATTGAGAATAACCTCCATTCTGTTGTGTGGCACTATCATCGGGCTAAATGGGACAGACTTTGAACAGATCTAGCAACTCAAGGCTGGGATCCATGAGGCGCTGTGGGCCAACAACAGCGGATTTGTACTCTAGCACAATCTGTTACCTCAAGGCCTGGCATATCCCCCCACTCAACCATCATCATCAAGCCAGGGTATCAACCCTGGTTCAATCGAGAGTGCAGGAGGGCATGCCAAGAGCAGCACCATGCATTCCCGAGGATGAGGCATCAACCTGGTGAAGCCACCAAACAGGACGACTTGCACGCCAAAACAGCGAAAGCAGCAAGTGATAGACAAGAGCTAAGGGATCCCACAATCAACAGATCACATCTAAGCTCTGCAGTCCTGCCACATCCAGTTGTGACTGGTGGTGGACAATTAACAACTCACTGGAAGAGGTAGCTCCACAAAATATCCCTATCCTCAATGACTGAAGAGCCCAGCAAATCAGTGCAAAAGACAAGGCTGAAGCATTCGCAACCATCTTCAGCCAGAAGCGCCGAGTAGATGATCCATCTCGGCCTCCTCCAGTGGTCCCCAGCATAACAGATACAGTCTTAAGCCAATTCGATTCGATCCACGTGATATCAAGAAACAGCTGGAGTCACTGGATACCGCAAAGGCTATGGGCCCTTAAACTACATTCTGGCAATAGTACTAAAGCCTTGTGCTCCAGAACTTGCCGCTCCCTGAGCCAAGCTGTTCCAGTACAGTTACAACACCGGTACCTATCTGACAACGTGGAAAATTGCCCAAGTATGTCCTGTACACAAAAGCATGACAAATCCAACCCGGCAATTACCGCCCCAACAGTCTCCTCTCAATCATCAGTAAAGTAATGGAAGGTGTCATGAACAGTGCTATCAAGCAGCACTTGCTCAGCAATAACCGGCTCAGTGACACCCAGTCTGGGTTCCACCAGGGCCACGCAGCAACTGACCTCATTAGTCTTGATTCAAACATGGACAAAAAAGTTGAATTCCAGAGGTGAGGCGAGAGTGACATCAAGGCTGCATTCGACCAAGTGTGGCAACAAGGAGCCCTAGCAAAAGTGGAATCAATGGGTATCAGGGGGCAAACTCTCTGGTGATCGGAGTCATACCTGACACGTAGAAAGATGGTCATGGTAGAATGGAGGTCAATCATCTCAGCTCCACAACATCTCTGCAGTAGTTCCTCAGGGTAATGTCCAAGGCCCAACCATCCTCAACTGCTTCACTGACCTTCCCTCCATCCTAAAGGTCAGAAGTGAGGATGTTTGCCGATGATTGCACAATGTTCAGCACCATTCGTGACTCCTCAGATACTGAAGCAGTCCAAGTTCAAATGCAACAAGATCTGGACAATATCCAGGCTTGGGTGGACAAGTGGCAAGTGACAAGTGACATTCGTGCCACACAAATGCAAGGTTATGACCATCACCAATAAGAGACAATCTAACCACCGTCCTTTGACGGTCAAATGGTGTTGCCAACACTGAATTCCCCCATCATCAACATCCTGGATATTAGCATTGACCAGAAACTCAATTGGATGTAGCCACACAGACAGTGTGGCTACAAGAGCAGGCCAGAAGCCAGGAATACTGTGGTGAGTAACTCACCTCCTGACTTCTCAAAGCCTGTCCGCCATCTACAAGGCACAAATCAGGAGGGTGATGGAATACTCCCCACATGCCTAGAAGAGTGCAGCCCCAATAACACTCAAGAAGCTTGACACCAACCAGGACAAAGCAGCCCGCTTGATTGGCACTACATCCATAAGCATTCACTCCCTCCACCACCGACACTCAGTAGCAGCAGTGTGTACCATCTACAAGATGCACTGCAGAAATTCAAAGATCCTCAGACAGCACTTTCCAAACCTATGATCACTTCCATCTAGCAGGACAAGGGCATATGGGAACACCACCTCCCAGTTCCCCCACCATCCTGACTTGGAAATATATCAGGACTGCAGCAGTTCAAGAAGGCAGCTCACCACCACCCTCTCAAGGGCAACTAGGGATGGGCAAGAAATGCTGGCCAGCCAGCCACACCCACATCCCCCAAGTGAACTGAAAAAAACTCAAGCTCCAGAGATACAGAATCATTGCATTGTGCCTCATTTTCATCTTGACATAAGAATGCAATGTGGGTGTCAAGAATGTGGGAACACTGCTTTGAAAAGAACTGTCCCATCAAATCAAACCAAACTGAAGTTGTGAAACAAACAGAACAGTAGAAGGACAGATTACAATAGAGAAAGGCCAGGCTAACATGTCAGATGTAAACCCTGCTCAATTCTTTCCACAGACCTGTGCATTTCCAGCATCTGCAGTTAGTTGCAGATTCCTGACATTTTGCAGCTGGTCCTTCAGATTCATGAAGCTAGGGTAATCACTGGCTTAAAGCACTCAAGTAGGCGAACAATAGGAATTTTTTTTTAAAAAAGCAAACTTAACTATCAAGTGCACAAGCAAGGGGCAGTGCCGGAAGAAATAATGAAGTATGATGGGCAGGGGCAAGAAAGAAGAGGTGGGAGGGAGAGGAGTGAATGGGGGAGGGGTGGGGGAGATGGGGGCAGCAGGGCAGGTGGATGAAAAGATGGAACATTAAAAATCAACAGCATAAGCCCATTCAGCTCCTCGTGCCTGACTGTTATTTAATGAGCTGATCTCACTGTCATCTCAAATTCACTTCTCCACCTAACTCTCAATAATCTTTCATCCCCTTGCCTACCAATTACCCTTGCTTTAAAATTATTCAAACTCTGCTTCCAGCATATTTTCGGAAAAGTGTTCCAAATACTCACGACCCTCAGTAAAAATAAACTGTCTCACCTTTATGTTTAAACAGTGACACCTAGTTTTTCCCAAGCTGAAACACTCACCACATTTACCCTGTCAAAACCCGTGATTCAGGTTTCAATCATGACACTTCTCGCTCTTTTAAACTTGACAGACTCAAGCCTAGCTTGTCTAACCTTCCTTCTCTGGACAAACCATCCATTCCAGCTATTATAAAACAAAGAACTGCAGATGCTGGAGATCGGAAACAAAATCAGAAATTGCGAAGAAACTCAGCAGGTCTGGCATCTGCGGGAAGAAAGCAGAGTTAACGTTTTGAATCACCTCTCTAAACATTAATTTTGCTTTCATCCCACACATGCTGCCAGATCTGCTGAGTTTCAGCACCTTCTGTTTTCATTCCAGGTGTTTTTTTAAATTGCTATAAAGTATTTATCGATCACACTCAGAATTTGAATACCATTACAAACCAATTACATCATTTCTGAAATGGTTCCTGTCTATAAGAGAGTGAGACATAGATGTCAACTCAGTGAATCAAATCAAGCAAGTTAGTCTGGATTAGAAAGGGCATCTGGGTGTATTTGGGTCAGTATGGACAAGATGGATCAAATGGCCCCTTTCTGTTCATTATCTGTATGATGATATGGTTCGACGTCTTCTGAACTGCTTCCGATGCTTTTATATCCAACCTTAATCCAAAATCCAACCTCTGTATTGTAGCAGTTCACCAGACGTGGCCTCACTAGTGCCCTGTAAACTGAAGCCTACCAACTGTTTTGTTCAATATCCCTTGCAACAAATGATATCATGCTAGTTAGCATTCCAAAGTACTTACTATACCCAGATAAAGCCTTTTCAGATTTATGAACCAGAACACCCAGATCCCTCTGCATGCGCTCACCATTTAGAAACTATGCTCCATTTTTATTCCTGCCAAAACAGAGTTTCTCACACTAAATTCCATTTGACAGATCTTTGCCCACTTACTTAACCTATCACTATCCTTTTGTCACCTCACTAAGCCCACTTCACAATTTACTTTTCAACCTATCTTGGTGTCATCAGCAAATTTGGTAGCAATAGCTTCCACGCTATCAGCCAAATCATTTACCTAAATTGTAAACAGTTAGGGCCCCAGCACTGATCACTGTGGCACACCACTCATTACAGCCTACCAACCTGAAAAAGACCCGTTTATGCTTAATGTATTCCTGCTGGCATGCCAACTTTATAGCCTTATCAATGTGCAGTTATTTTCCAACACCCTTTTGTGTGGTAATTTATCAATTGTCTTCTAGAAGGAAGGAAAGGGAGATGCAGAGTAAGAGGAAAAGAGGGATACACAAGGGGAGCGAACAGGGAAAGCTGAAGGGCTACTTGGAGATTGGGGACAGTGTTTGGAGTTGTTACCTGCCTTAGTCGGCGGTGGGGTTTTAGGGGAGCCCGGGAGTGAGGGTGTTGCGCCCCGGGTGTTAGGGATGCTTTGAGAGCTGCCCGCTCTTCACCCCCCCGACCAGTACACACTTACATTCCTGCGGCTGTCCCTCGGCCTCCCTTCTCCCCCTCAGTGCTCGGTCAGTACATCCTGCTGGGGCTGGACCCGGACTAACCGCGCACCATGCCAGCCAAGCAACCGCCTGTCAGCAGGGCCTCTCCGCGGGGCCGCCTGTTCCTCCTGTCCAAGGAGCCCTACCTGCTGCAAGTGTGCGAGTGGGGGCTGAGCAGGCCCCAGCTGCCAGGTGCGGGCCGTACGCAATTTCCTGGGGAACTTGTTGCTGCGGAGCCATTTCAGGCCGAAAGAGCCGGGCAGCGCCACGACCACGGGACGCATGCGCAGTGCCCGGCAGCGTCCCCACAACAGGGACGCATGCGCAGTTCCGGGCCGTGCACCAAGCCAAGGACGCATGCGCAGAGTCCTGCACACGCACAAACCCGCACCGGGGACGCATGCGCAGTGCCCGACAGCGCCCCGCACGCGCGTTGTCCGGCTGCCGAAATCCCGCGCCTTTTGACAATTTTGAAGTCTTCAGCAAAGGGCCGGTGGCGGGAGACATGGAGTTCGGAATGTTCGAGAAAAATCTTGTTGAATTTGAGGTGCTGGTAAGAAAGGCCGAGAAGCTGCGTGTTGTGGCTTGACTAGTGGAAGTAAGTGATGTTTGTCGATGGATGACATTGATCGTATTTTCATCCAGCGCCCTGAGCCTTCAGTATCTCTTTCTCACACATTGATAATGGCTCTTCACGCCCACGATATTTATGCTGACCAACAAACAGCATTGATCCAATTTACCTACACTTGTCCGTAGCCTGCAATGCCCTGGCATTTTAAGTACTCATCGAGATACTTAAATGTTGCGAAGGTATCTGCCGCCACCATCCTCTCAGGCAGCACGTTTCATACCATTATCACCCTCTGACTGAAAAAAATTCTCTCAGTTCGCCTCTTACTGCGCACTTTAAACGCATGTCCTCTGCTAGGAGACATGCCTGCCATGGGTCAGAGATTCTCACTATCTCCTCCGTCTATACCTCATAATTTTGTATACCTTAATCAGATGCCCCTCAGCCTCCTGTGCTCGAGGGAATTCAAACCCATACTATTGTCTCTTCTCATAACGGAGACTTTTCATCCCAGGCAACATGCTGGTGCATCTCCTCTGCATCCTCTTCAATGCAATGATGTCCTTCCAACAGTGTGGTGACCAGAAAGTATTCCATCTGTGTCCAAACTAATGCTAAATAAAGTAAGAGCAGGCCAAGCAGCATCATAAGAGCAGAAAGGCTGACGTTTCGGGCCTAGACCCTTCATCAGAAACCCGAAACGTCAGCCTTTCTGCTTCTATCATGCTGCTTGGCCTGCTGTGTTCATCCAGCTCTGCACCTAATTGTCTCGGATTCTCCAGCATCTGCAGTTCCTACTATTGCTAAATAAAGTAACATGACTTCCTGTTCCTATATGTTATGCCCCAGCTAATACGGCAAGCATGCCATACACTTTCTTGTGCTGATACCCTAAGGGATTTGTGAACTTGAACACCAAGGTCCCTTTTTTTCAACAGTACTCTCTAGAGACCTACCATTCATTATGTACATCCTTCCCCAGTAGACCTCCCAACTGCATTACCTTGCACTTATTGGGATTAAATTCCATCTGCTATTGCTCTGCCCAATTTACCAGCTGATCATTATCAGGTTCTAGTCTAAGAGCATCTTGCTCAGTATCAACACCACCACCAATCTTCATGTCATCTGTAATTTCAGCTTTTTTCTTTTTGTTTTCTTTGAAACCTGAATATCTTTTGCTTGCTGCTTTAATAGTTGTTTGCATTCTTTCTTGAGTTCTTTCACTGGAGCCTCATTTCTGATATTTATTTCCTGAAGGATTGTCTCATGAGTTAATTACAATTCCTTGTTTGTGATATTCACCCCCATAGGTTTTTGCAGGCCTATCATCATCTACAGCATTGCTTTGAATTCAGGCCTATGTTTCTGTAGCTGCTGTTACTAAGCTTTGATTCTTTTTTCCTTGCAACGTTCTCTAGATTCCTCCCTTCATCCTTCAGCTCTTCACATAACTTTATTAGCTGAACAGAGGTATCTGAGAAAAAAAAAATTGAATGAACTATGGATGCTGGAAATCTGGAAAACAACAAATTGCTGAAAAATCTCAGCAGGTCTGACAGCATCTGTGGAGAGAAATCAGAGTTAATGTTTCAGGTCCAGTGGCCCTTCTTCAGAAGGCCGGTATCCAAAAATCAGTTCCTTATTTCAGCGGTGGTACATGTATATATTTCAGCTATAATTCCATAAGTGTTCTTGTGTTACCTTGCACTATAGAAAATTGCATTACAGGGAAATCACTGTACCTGTACAACAGAAAGTTCGCATTATCTATACAGCATCCACTATTCAACAATCATGTTACAGCCACTTTACGTTAACGAAACACGCATTATAGCAGAACTACCTGTATTCTCAAATTTGGGTGGATGCTGAGCTAATTGTTTAGCCTTTTGCTCTTGAACTTTCATTTTTCTGTTCATAGCTGAGAACTGACAATTAGACCACAATATGGTCTCCTCCACCATTGGGGAGACAAAATACAGACAGGGTAACCACTTTGTACCTACTTTCTGTCTGCAAAATGACCTTGAGCTTCCAGTTGCCTGCCACTTCAACGCACCACCCTGTTCCCTGGTCAACATTACTGCTACAGACCTGTTGTGGTGTTCCATCAGGCATTAGCACAAGCTCACAGAACAACATCTCATTATCCACTTGGGGACCTTGTAGCCTCTAGGACTCAACATCGAGTTCAATAACTTTATAACCTGATTCTGTCCCCTTCCATGTACTTTATCCACTTCACACCAATCCTGATATGACAGGAGTTCCTTTTAGCATAGTCACCCATTCTCATGTATTCCTAGGCCCATTATCATATTATGTAGATTGTATTTAGCACTGCTAAACCATTTTCACTCTTAGCTCTTGTCGTCTCTTATTTAGCTTTTTTTTTCCTGAATTGGCCTGCTATCGATTATCTCCTTGTTTACTTAATCCCCTTCGTACTTTTATCTCTCTCTCTCGCCCCCTCTCTCTGTAACCACTTAAACACTCACCACTACCTTACCTCCCCAGGCAATACAGATATTTTAATTGAACTCTAAATTAGACTTCTTATGTAGTCTATAACTTATAGGGATCTGTTAATTCTATGTTAAGTCCATGTAGACCTTCAATTAAACAAATCTTAAAGACTTATTCTTCTGCATCTGACACACACAAATCTATTCTAGACATCATAACTGTAAACGCTATTTAAACATTTTAAATTCTGTTAGAATGTGTGCTGTTTCTCAATTTAAACTAAAAATTTTTTTGGACATCCAACCTTTGACTTTGCAGTGCTTGCAATCAATCCAGCACACAATGTTCATTCGCCTTTTTCCAGTGAATTAAACTGGCTTCTCAATCGGAATCCATCTACTTATTAGAAACCTGTGCTTTCAATTAACAATCTTCAAAAGAAGAGGAGGGTTAACTCATGCAGTTTAGCATGATTTAATACTGTCGACCATGTGTTTCGCCTCTTAAACAACTTGTTTGTTGACCGTTCAAACACCAATAGCCTCATCTGCATGATGTTTTCATCACTGTCCGGTATGTCATTATTACAGATAATCGTCTAATAATCAATAAATCCAGTGATTGATTAACTCCTTGGGTTGGTTTATTTAAAACAGTGGAACAAATTAAAAGTTATAAAATTACAGCAAAGCAGCTGATTTCTGTATGTGCAGCATGCAAACTCACCTGTTTTTTTTTCCCACACTTAGCTCTCAATATGTCTGATTCAGCTTTTCTTCTGTCTGGTCTGCTATCCATTATCTCTTTGTTTACCTACTCCTTTCATATCAACTGATCATAACATTGTCTATGTAGAACACATGGAAACCTTAAGGTGAATTCTGTTAAAGGAAATGTACATACACATCAAAATGCTTCTTAATATCATGGCAAATCAACCTTCAAGAACACAGGTCCCAGCTCTGTTTAGATACAACCTGTCTTGCCTGCACAGGTTCCATCTCCCTCAGAAGCGGTCCTAATTCTCCAGGTGTCTAAAATCCTCCCTCCAATACTATCTCTTCAAACTGTTCATCCAACTGCTCTATCCACCTATTTCTATCCTAACTTAAGCATGGTACTGGGAATAATCCAAAGATTAAAAAATCCAAAGAAGACCTGGTACAGAAAGTCATTCAATGCCAGTCTGAGGTCATGGAGGAGCTCCTTCATGGCTGCTTGGAATTGGTGGACTGGTCCACATTGAAGAAAACAGTAGCCAACCTGAATGAGTATGCCACTACTGTCACAGATTTCATCAGCAAGTTTGTAGAGGACTGCGTGCCAAAGAAGCTAATCCGCATGTCCCGCAACTGGAAATCATGGAGATCCACTCCCTACTGAAGTTCAGGTCTGAGGCGTTCATGTCAGATGACCCTGAACTACACAGGAAATCTATTTATGACCTTCGCAAAGCTATCAGGGATGTCAAAAGACAATACCAGACTAAGCTTGATTCCCAGACGAACCACACATTGATTTTGGCAAGGCTAACTGAATAAAGGGGCAACAAAGCAAAGTCGAGTAGAATGGCTGGCACTAATGCATCCCTGCTTGAAGAGCTCAAAGCATTTGATCAGAAGGTCAGTGAAATTATGTCACCTGTCCCAACATCTTTGGACTTTGCTCCCCCCTCTGCAAATGAATCTTTGATTTCCTGATCCACAGACCGCAATCAATAAGGATAGACGACAACACCTCTTCCACGATAATCCTCAACACCAATGCCCTGCAAAGCTGCATACTCAGCCCCTTACTATATTCCTTATATGATTGTGTCGCAAAATTCTGCTGCAACTCCATTTACAAGTTTGCTAATGACACCACTGTAGTAGGTCGGATCTTAAACATTGATGAGACAGAGTACAGGAAAGATATAAAAAACTCAGTGGCATGGATGTAAAGACAACAATCTCTCCCTCAATGTCAGCAAAACAAAGTAGCCGGTTAGCAATTTCAGGAAGCGGAGTAGAGGACTGTATCATTGGTGCTGAGGTGGAGGTGGTTGAGAGCTTCAAGTTCCTAGGAGTACATATCACCAACAATCTGTCCTGGTCCATCAACGTTGAGGCTGCGGTCAAGAAAGCACACCAATCAATTGATTGATTTTATTGTCACGTGTACTGAAATACAGTGAAAAACTTTGTTTATGAGCGGTTCAGGCAGATCACAGCAAGCAAAGAATGTACAGAACGAAAAGACTCAGAGGCATATAGGTTGCAT